AGATTAGTTTTGTCTGGCTCTGATTTGGTAGATAATCCTGCTTTCAGTTTGGAAACTACATTTCCCATGATGTTTCAGGGGGATGTAATCAGGAAGCACAAGCTGAAGTCAGGGTCTCCTGTTAGTAGGCTTCAATGTCGTATATAATAACATTTAGGCTTATTGACACAATTCGAAGCTTGCCGAATGAGAAATCAGAAGTCCTTGTTTGCTTGATTGTCATGGATGTACAGATTAATCTCGTTGAAAAACGTTTACACCGAAGCAAAGTTAAAAATGTGATAAATCTCGGGCAAGTTCTGGAGTTGAAAGGAGCGTCGTTTTTGTCTGGATTCTAAGCAGCTTTCCTTCGCCATGGACGTCGGAGATAATGATGTCACCAGAAAGAGTAAGTCACGCTGAATCTAAACATATGTGTTTCACGTGTGTGTCAAAGTTTGAGTGAGTTATTGTGGCTCAAAGAAGAGTGTTGACACAAAGTTGCAGCTGGACGCAGTATTTATGATTTAGAATTGTGATGATCATATGTTGAGTATGTAAAATCTTAATTTGAGAAGAAGTGAGTACCTTTATCTAAGATGAATGTAGTATGTTGTGAAAATAACTCAAATCCAACAACAAAGTCCTACATTGGTATTTCATGTGTCTGACCACACTGGATTACCAACCTTCACCTTGTTTGTGAATTTTGTATTGTTTGTGATTCTGCTTGAACTGTTACAGTCACTCATAATGCTGTGTTTATTTTTATTGGGGATAGAATGTTGTTTAGATTCATATGGAGCTGGAAAAGAAACAACATAAGAACTATTTTATTCTGCATCTATATTTTTTCTATCACCTATATTAAAGGGGATATGACCAGTCGTGTAAAAATTCAAACTTTAATTTATTAGGATCCAAGACACACAGTTTCTCATGTGACCGAATGAGCATGCCAAATGTTTTTTACATCTGTGATGGTGTGGGAACACTGATGCAGCACTTCTAGCCTTCTTGTGGCCCAGATGAAATTAATGTGAGCCTTGTAAAATAGGGAATGTCTGAAAACAAATGTGATGCTGTAGGCAAGATGTAATCTGGATGTGAACCTAAAGTGGCCCATGTGGTAAATGGAGAATGTGGCACAAATACCACAAACCACTTTTGGAACCTTTAGTTGACATTCTGTATTTCTATGACTAACTTGTGGCCCCGATCTGGCAAACAGGAGCGGACTGCCCAAGTGTCATCACTCCACACAGTGTGTGGGCTCGATGACAGTGTGGCAGTTTGGGCCGAATATGGGCCAAACTTATTTAGCTATGTGGAAAACCTCTCTAAAAATAAAAAATAAAAAATCTACCTGCAACTAAGTCTTTAAGTACAATACTTGAGTAAATTTACCTAGTACTCACAAGGCTTAAAAGTACAGTAAAATTATACTTTATATACAGTTTATATTTAAGCTATATTGTATCATAAGTCCCTGGTCAGTGGATTAATGAGGAGCCATAAAAGCCACTCTGGAAAAAATCCATCTCACCATTTCTCCCACTTTTTGTCATTCTCATTTTTTCTCTTTTTCTATTTCTCCTCCGACCCTCCTTCTTCATCCTCCATGAAGGACAGACACCAGGGTAGAGAGGAGGTCAAGCATTAGCACAACTATCTAATCACTACCTCTCTCCTCCTCCTCCTCCTCCTCCTGCTCCACTGACAAGTCATCTGTCAACAGCCTGGCGGCCCTGGCCTCTCTCCATTAGAGCCGTGGCACCAGGAGTATTTCTCAGTCCTGCGCACGTGCACGTTTCCGTGCACCTCCTTACCCAGACAGCCTCCCTACAGAGGGAGGTGGTGGTGGAGGACGTGAGGGGGAGGTGTTGCCATCTCCATGCATCATTTGTCTCACGGCTGCCCTCTCTTTAATGAGCTTGTCTGGCTTCAGCTCCTTCTTTTTCATTCTCTCCCTTTTTTCCCTTCTCACCTCTCATCCCTTGTTCAGCTGACTACTTCAATCTTTTAACATGTACATCCACTTTTTTTTTCACTCTGCACTTGTCCCACTGTCAGACACCACTGACTTCTCTCTCTATTTAGGTAATGATATAAGCGGCGTGCTTTATAGTGGGTGGAAATCGCTAAAGTCACCCCTGTGAGCTGTGCAGGAGGAAGTATTCGGATACTTCACTTAAGTAAAAGTACCAATACCTCAGGTTCAATATACTTCTATTACAAGCAGCTGTTTCCAGCTCTCCTGGAAAACACACTGGATTATGGGATATGCAGCGTCAGACATTTTGTTGCTCTGACTGGTTTAAGGTCCATCCAAATGCAACCAGAGGCACTTTAGTCCCGTTCACAGAAGCCAAATTACTCTGGTAATGTCATGCTAGTTTGCAGCCTAATTCCATCTGCTAATACTTAACGTAATGTAAGATTTGCTCTTGGCTAAACTCTGGCGAGGGATGTGTTACTCACTGTCGTAACTACGAGTTGCAGTGTGGGCCTCCCCATGCACGAAGCTGTACACACATGCATTTGCAGACAAGCTGACGGAGAAACAGCCGGGAACCTCGACTGACAAAGTAGAGATTTTACACTAATTTTACAGGCTTGTCTGGTTAACTTGCCAGATAAACCTCTGTCAAAATGGGTTTACCACTTACACAGCCCCCTGACCATAGGAGTCTTCCTATTTTTCATCATAGTTTCCAACACATTGATGTCTAAGAAGGGTCATGATCAGGGTCATGACTGCTGAGGAAAGACACTATGAACGTGTTGAACATGTTGGCTGTAGTGTACAGAATAAATAATATATTTTGTATGAAAAATCTTAATTTTTAAAGTAACTAGTAACTATAGCTGTCAAATAATTGCAGTGAAGCAAAAAAGTCACGTTTTTTCTCTACAATGTAGTGGAGTGGATGTATTGAATAACAGAAATGTACCTCATATTTGTACTTGAGTAAATATACCTGTGGGTATTAGTCTTGGAGAATCGGGAGCTGCTGGGCCAGTAAATATGTGTCAGCACGACTCAGCAGTAAAACATGCTTAAGTAATAATGGTAGATGAGTAGTTGCCACAGTGCTGGAGCAGCTAATCTGTCTTAAGAAGACCAGATAAATGAGCTGTGCACCAGTTTATCAGTGTGTGTGTGTGTGTGTGTGTTAAACAGAGAGAAATAAAAGAGCGAGCGAGGGAGGAGCCGTGCGTGTCTCTATTAAGAGATATATGTGGTGCCACTTCTCGTTGGGCTGCCAGGAGTCACCTTACTTGTCCCACAAAAGGTGATGCATGAGCCCCAGGATCCCAAACATAATACTCATCAGCCTGCATGGCTGTGCACGAAGGTGTGTCGGTGGTTCTGTGTGCACGTGTTTGGTTTTCACTGCTCTGTGCTGGTACTCTACATGTGTCGCATTGCTTGTTTATCTCTGAGGCCGTAGCTGCAGAGAGTTTTTTTTTTATCACCCCTTGTAACATCAGGTTATCTCAAAATACAGTACTTCTGCTGAGCTAGATTTAATTACTCAAAATTCTCAAATAATTCAGTCAGTGCAGCAGGAGTAGGGCTGAATATTGACTCAACATTGATGCATTATCTTTTATTATTTATTTATTCTAGTTGTGCTATCAGACAGTTTTTAAGAGTATTTCCCTTTTTTTTGCGTTGTCATTTTTGTTTGTGCAAATATTCAATGTCTTTGAAGAATAAACAGGATTCTAAATCTGGTTGTGTTAAAACTTTTAGTTACAGCAATTTATTTAGTACAGACAATTTGTTCTCAAGACACAAATCCTATCTGTTGATATGAGCTTTTTAGAGATTAACATATATTATATTTAAAATGTTATACAAAAAAAAACTGAAGTTTGTTTGACGCACTGACTGAAAACTGAAGATTTATTGTTGTTTGGAGAGCCCGACTTTCCTTCCACTGATAAATAATACAGGTTTTAAAATGTAAAAACAAAATAGCCCATTTTGATTTATAAGGAATCAAATGCATTCAACGCATTTGTGGATAGGATAAACAAAATGCCACAGGAAACCTTGAAGGTGACATGGTTCTGGTCCAATCTTCACTCTCTTTTAGCTCAGATTTGGTCTCCACCACCCCCACAGAGAAATCTCTGGCTCAAAAGCTGCACTATGTTCATCATTCAGTCTATTGGATGTCTGCCTTTTAATTCTAGTCATTTGTTCCATTGTAAGTATATAAATATTGATCATAGCAGGTTTGACCACACTGCGTGATGCACAAAGCCGCCTAGATGTGGACTTTAGGACTTAAAACTGGTGAGGACACTGTCATCACATATCATCTGAAGCTCTTTGATAGCTGCTGTTTGCGCTCTGCTGTTTGCAGCTGTGCAAAGACAAAAGTCAACACAGAGAACAATGGCATCACCACAAAGACAAACCATCCACACAACTGGTCAGTTCATGTACTGCAGCTGAATAGCATTGAATGATGTTGACAATATTTCTAGATAGCAGGACTCAACAGTGCAGTGCTTTAGTGTTGGAAAGGCAGTCAGACTGAAGTCAAAGCTGTGCTGTGCTCAACCCTGCATGTTGTATTTATGCTTTGCTGTCATTTCAGTCTAGAATGAGTTCCAAACAGTGATTTATGAAACATCTGAGCGTCCTGAAGGCTGGAAATCACAGCCATGATGGATGATGTCCTGTGGAAACAGAAACATAAAGAGCTGCAGAGCAGGATGCCTGATTCTGTCTGTGCAGGGGAGCGAGACTTCGAGGGAACATTTATTCTTGAACACTATTTAAAATGCTTTTTAAAAAGCCTGGTGGTGATGCAGCTTGTTGTCCCGGAGCCATTTAGATATGTATTGCTGACTGTATTTGTCTTCACTATTACCACATCAGGCGTACATCAAGTGATGTCACACTGACACAGTTTCTCAGCTCCTAAATACGTCTCCATTCCATGGACGCAAAGAACAGGAGCTTGTTTTTAGACTCACAATTGAGACCATCATTCAGTGGATGATGCATTTACTATTTCTTTCACTGTGTGTATTCTCCTCACACCATTAGACAATCAGTAATGCAGCTGTGACTCCTGTGTTTTATTTTATATAGATATGCATTAAGAATAACATTTTTCCTTCCCGATACTGATTTGGATAGCTGGACTTTGTATATCGGCCGATACCGAATACCATCCAATACTGGATTTAAAAAAGTATCAACTTATAAATCATATCTTCTGCTGTGATCTACTAACCCTGTTTTTCTGAAGTCTTACATATGCAACACGTCGCAGTTTGTGGGACCTTCCAGCTTGAAGTGTTCCTGAATGGCTGACATTAGACCCCAGATCTGCTGCTAGCATGTGTAATCGTACCTGAAGCTCAGGTCAAGCCTATACAGTA